GATATATTCTCTGTAGCAGCATCTGCTCTCTGGAACAAGGTTCCCCCCAAGATCCAGCTGGTACCTATTCTGCTGTTGTTTAGAAGTACTGTGAAGAACTGGCTCTTCACCCAGTCCTTCACTGAGGGAGAGTAAGACCCCTTGCTTCATTGTGCTTGCCATCTTTTATCTTTATTTTTTATGTTTTATTTTATTGTAATTTCTTTGATTGTTGTGAACCACTCAGAGTTGTTGAGAATCAGATGCATACAAGATTATTTCTATAAGACTTTTATGCTGAAGATGAAACAGAATTGTTCTTTGCTATTCAAGAGGACAGAACTAAGATCAATGGGTCAAGTTGCATGGAAGCAGATTTTGGGTAAAGTTCTCCAAACTCTTGGAGTCATATCTTTCGACTGAAACAGACTGCCACAGGAGATAGTGGATTCTCCTTTGTAAGTAAGTTAAGGATGAACAGTGAGATGATCTATCAAGATAACTGTAATGGTGCTTTACGTTACAGATTCTACCTTGAACAGGGTGTTGGGCTAGATGATCATTAGGACCCTTTCCAATGTTATAGCTTCATCTATACATAACATTAGGCCAAATCATGATTTGCTGACAAAGTTTCCACATAATTCTAATGAGCAAAACCACACATACTCACAAATAATAGATACAACTGACCCTGGGGATGGCTGGTACCTTGAAGACACTCCCTGAGTTTATTAACACCTAATTAACATCAGCCTCTTGGAAGTATTATATAGGAAGTTTGTTATTGTAGCATATTTTAACTAATTTTTATCTATTTTAATTAATGTTTATTCTGTTTTTGCTGTAAACCACCCAGAGTCACTCTATAGTAAGATGGGTGGTGACAAATTTGAAATATAAATAAATAAATAAACTACATGGTGGTTTTATGTAATATGTAAATTCATCAAATAAAATAATAGCTAAGAAGTTAATTCTCACATTGAGAAGACATCCCAAATGCGTGGATCTAACATTGGTGTCTGCACATACTGTTCATTCTAGAGATCCCCTCTAACTTGAAGAAATAAAAAAAAATCACTATTCCATATAATTAGAAAGCACTCTCTTTGTATGAAGAAAATCTGTGTGTATCTATGCATTTTATTAGTTTAGTTGACAATATTCCTTTAATAAATTAAAGAAATAAAATATTTTGTCAAACTCAAAAGTCTTCTTTAACCAAGAAACAACCCCAAACTGCCTTTTAACATAAGTATTGTCATTAAAGACATATTTCCTCATGTGTAAGAGAAGTGAAAATGACTCTTCTAACTTTCACATTAAGTACTGCATTTTCTTACATCCAAATTTCTTCAGTTTGAATTGATTAACTGACTAAAATTCATATCCTTGGTTTCTTCAAGGATACCTTAGTTTCCAGTATCTTGAAAAGATGATCTAATCCTTGATTTTCTCTTAGCATCACTCTTGTTTCTCTGTCAATGGTAATGATACCTAAAGTTTTGAGTGCTAACAACTGAATAACTGGGTAGTCAGACTTTAGAAGTTCCAACAAAGGAGGAATTACATTTAGTTCACGTATTGCAGCACGGCTCTGAAAATCCTATATTTAAATATCAAATAAAAATAATGTGATTAGGGAAAAAACAATATAAAGCACAATATAATTATGATTATTGCAAATGAATAAATTAGCTCAAATACAGTTTAAAGAAATGTTTTCAACACATCACGCATTAAGCTCCATATGTCACAAATTATATATTAAACAGAACAAAACTCAGCAATTCAGTTTACATATAATTTAATATCCATGATCAATTTTATCTGAGAAACTGAGAAAATTTATAATATATTGATACAAGAGGGATCAAAGAAATGCAGTTTGACAATTTCATCTTGGTATGTATCGTCATATCTCTACTTCCTTGTTTTTTAAAATAACTAAATGTTAAAAACTGCCTTGTTAAGTATTTAAACATTTTCTTGCTGTGCAACATTAAAATAGTAAAAGTTACTAGTTTTAAGTAAAAAAAAAAAAACCACCCTGTGCATTTTTCTATACAATTTCACTTATCAGTTTAAACAAGCACCAGGTGCAGGTGTCTTGATATACCTTACAATAAAGATAGATAGCAAAAGAATGGAAACAGCAAAATGTGATTCAGAATAAAGACATGCTCTGGTGCCCTAGAAAAGATTGAACTGTGAATTGAATTCATTACAGAATTGATTCACTTATAACCTGGTCCACAACCCAGTTCAATTGGAGTACCTGGATTTAAGCCAATTTGATACCATTTACATCAGGAGAGCCAAAGTAACTTAAATCCTAGTGTTTCAGCTTCACTGGATTGTAGATTGGGCTATTAGACTCTGAAAAGAGCTCTTCTACAAATTTACTATTCTTTTGCTAACCAGCATATCGTGACATTAACACTGATTGTGAAAGTAACCAATTACAATAACCTCCCTCCCCTTCTGAAAAGAAGCTGTCAAATGCATTTACTAAGAGTTTAAAAGGTGCAAAATCATGATGTGTTAGGCAAGAATAATGCAAAAATAATACTTTTCATTCCATCCCCTCCAAACATGGACATTTTTATAACCTTTTATGGAACAAACAGTTTTTCCAGACGATGAAGAGACAATGGATTTTATGCATTCTTCTATCTTGAAAATGATTTCTTTTATAGGCATGTAAATAGAGCTTATTCCAACTTATGCTAAACATATTTAATTGGCAAATTTAACCAGAATCAAAGAGACTTGCCATTAGGTAAATCACCCTAATTCAGTGCAAGAGATGTCTGACTTCCAGCCCTTGCCAACTGAAAACAGTAAAACTTTTGCAAGCAGATTCAGATCTGTGTGCATAGCGATAGTATTAATCATATTTTAGCAAGGATGAAAAACAGAAACATGAGTGTTTCTCAGTGTTTCTTATAAGCCCTCTTATCTTCCTCCTCACCAACATATGACCAGCAGTGTTATAGATTACAATCATGACCACCAGCTGAGTTAACTGGAAGGGGGAAATTCATCAAGCAAAGCAGCCAAGGCATAGCTATCAGTGCCAACATTATGAGGTATGGGAAGGACGATGCATTTGAAAATGAGGTGGCAGGAAAAGTGGGGTAAATGCAGTGTGAACCAAACACAAAGCAGTATCTAATATCAGATTCGTTTACAGAAGACATACGACTTTGTAATGAAAAATGGAGGGAATTCATCACCTGCACTAGACTATAGATGCATTCAACACAATTCTTCTTAACATCAGGATCAGGACTTCCTAGCAGTCGGATAAGAGGCTCTAGTCCACCTTGCTCAAATATTTGCACTTTGCTATTATAATCAACTGCCATATGTACCAAACAAAGGCTAGCAAACTCATGGATGACAACATCTTCTACAAAACATTAAAAAAGGACTGTGATCAGACATTATCCAGCAACAAACATGCACATTTTATAAGCAAAATGTTGTTATATTCAATTAAAACCAGATTCTAATTCATTCTTAAACTATTCTCAAGATTTTAAAAATGAACAGGTAAATATATTTATTTAAAATTATCCCAAAGGTCACAGTCCTACAAAAACATGTTGCCAAATGACAAGGGCATCCACAGGGGGAGAGAAGGGCCCTATTTTCATTTTTGTATTTTTATGCTTGATGGCTATTGTGGAATGGAAATGTGAAAAACAAACCAGGAAATAAATTGAAAAGTCAAGGTGGTGGTCATGACCATGGTAATGGTATGTGGGAATGACTTTGGGAAACAGGAAGAAAGACAACTGTCATGCAAAAGGCATCTCAGCCCACAGAAGGAAAAGGGGCATGGGAAGCATCTCAGAAGGGACCCTCCCTAGTT